CAGCTGTACTCATATCCAAATTATGTACAAAATCTAAACTATTCTGATTGTTAGTGTTGTGCAAAGTAATCGGTGGCTTTAAGTACGGCATGTTTTCTGTCAATTCCTTTGAAAATATAATTTAATTAAAAAATTTTAATTCAATATATGTTCGTTAAAAAAAGTAAGTTTTAAGTTTATTATTCAGTTATGATGAATATAAATTTAGTTTAAACTAACAGTAGTTTGTGTTTTCATAATAAGATAAATAGTTACTAAAAACACAAAATGATTACTTTTTATTTGCTCTTATTATTGATTCGATTAGATTATCATATTAAGAAACTATATTTAATTTATCAAGAAATGACTATTATTTTAGTATTGCAATTAACAGTAATAAGTATAGCACTATAGTTGTTTGTTAAGGCACAACAGAAAAAAGTTTGATATCATAGCAGAAAACTTTCTAATTATATTTATAATATAATTTACAATGTTATAGTAAACTCGATGCACCAGGATCTACAATGCCGATTGTGAATTAAGATTGTAATGATAATTCTTACAAAAATAACAGACCATAAAAAGTAAATTTTTAATATAATGGATATAAAAAAGTCAGCTGCTATTTAATTCTTTTAATTAATTCTTTTAATTTTATTTAATTTTTTTATTCAGACGGCCGCACAGCNAGTTAACTGCACAAAGTCTTAAAATTACAATAAATAAAATCAAAGTATATTTTTATTAGTGCATTAAGAATATTCTGTAAAAATTGATGAGTTGAATGTATTGTTCAGATAGGACCAGTACACATCCGTGATACTAGCACTTTGGATGTGTACATTTTTGGTTTAAGGTATTTAATTAAATAGAGTTTAATTTAATTGGAAAGATTAGAATTTTGAAATTATATTTTTAGGTATAAATCTCAAAACTCTCATTTCTTTTATGTCTGATATAATATATTTTTAATGTTTATAAATATGTAAAACTACCCAAAATAAAATAACTGTTGTACTGTAGTAACTTATTTATTTAAACATTTAAAATATGTTTCATTAGAAAGAATGAGTTTCTGCTTATTATTTGCTTACTTTAATGGCTTCTAATAAATTACATCTGATTTCAAGCACTTTCTCTTTCCTTTCGGCGTCCGAAAAGCCTTCGATGTGAAGAATTTTCATTTGTTTAATAATAGTGGTCTTTCCACTTTCACCGGCACCTATATTTGCCACACAACCGTTAAGAAAATACTTGTATTTATATTACTTGAAAATGCATACCTAAAAGGAGTAATTTAATAGATTTCCGGTACTGTTTCATCCAAACGTTAATCTTCTTATCCAACTCTTTGCTGGCCCTTCGGTTCGGGTCATTGTTATTACAGATGCAAAGGGCCGGCATCT